TTGACTATATGTTTGTGTTCTCTTCTCCTAGTTGACTTTAGTTGACGGCATAGACATTGTTTTATGATCAAAAGAATAATGAAACTGATTGTGAAATAAATTTTTGGTAATGGCATTATAAACAATGTTTCATACAGAAATGTTTTTGTTATGAAAGTTTCAGAATGTCTAATTATGAAAAAAAACATCGGACTTCATGTGATGTAAATTTTACTCCTTTTTGTTCATCTTTATTCAAATTTAACAAAGTATTTGAAGAAAAACTAGAGTTTTATGATAGTATAATTAGATTTTGTCCAAATTTCATAGATTAATCATTCAACAACTAATTGATGTTTAAAAAATATGGTTTTTTTCCTTCTCAATCTACAGAATTATAGATTAATCATTAATATATATGATAGAATTTTTATTAGATACATATCCATGTCTAGAGGATATACATAAAATTAAATCTGCTAGATTTGCTTCTGCATTTAGTTTTCTTAATCATAAATGTTATAGCCCACATGAGTAGATCCAAGGACCAAGAAATATAGTTCATCTTAGTTATGCTCAAGTTTAATTTTCAATTTGAGAGTCTTCAAAATGCAATTTTGATGATAATACTTACTGCATAATCATGAGATTTCTTATATATAAAAAAATTCTATTCATTTCTAAACTGATGATCAAAGTAATGTGGAAATTTGAAAATGTTTAAATCTTGAAAATATCTTAAAATACGTAGTGTGTAGTAACATGTTTGATGTGACAACTATGTATAATGTGATATCACATATATGTGCATTATAAATTTCTGATTAGTTCAAAGATTCCAAAGTAATGAAATCAAGAAATATGTTTTCCAAATATGATGAAATCAACGTTTTCAAAATTAGACTTTAAATGTAATAAAATATTTCAGTTGATTCATTTATATTTTTTAAATGTAAATGAAAAGAAAAATCAAGCTATAAACAAGTATTGCATGAAAATCACTATGTTATTTAATTTCATGATTTTGAATGATATCTAGCTTAAAATTGAAATATAATTAGTTTTATTCAATACTATTTCTAACAGTATTTCATTGTTCAAACTCCAAACTTTGTAAAATCTAGATAAAAGAACAAAAATTCAGGTCAGAGTTATTGTAGACTAGCATTATATTTTTGTATTGATTTCAAAAATAATTTGCAAATATACATCATTTAATATATGGACATAATATAAAATTCATCCAATGTATAATACTACTATATAAAAAATTAATAAGAGTTTCATAATAATTAATAAATTTTCACTTTAGATTTTTAGTTTTACAAAAAAGATATATTTAAATATTAGTTGTAAATAACTCAAATATAGCCGAAAATTAGCCAACATGGTATATTCATTATAATTTTTGCAATGTTTCAACTTACTCTATTTACATTAATCTTTAGCCAAAATTTTGTACTTAAATTTGATTCAAATGACATAAATCCAAATTTTAAAAAAAATTTATTATAAAATGAGTTGGCGATAAACAATGAAATTTGAATTCTTTCCACAACATTTTAAGATCAAGTTGAAAATCAAGATGAATGTAGTGATAGTATTCATTTGACTTTCAAACCTTCATAGAATTTTTTTCTCTTTGTGAGTGATTTTTAAATGCCAACAAACTAGATATTAAGCATAATGAAGTTAATTTTAATTATTATAACTCATATTTATAGAGAAGTTCTCATCAATGAGAAAAAAACATATCAATCAATTACAATCAAGCTCAATCAAAAATAATGAAATAGAATTTTTCTCTTTAGATTTTAATATACTTAGCCATTATTTTAAAAATGAGATAATATATCATTAAGACTTAACACCGCAACATCAAAATTGGTCAACTATAAATTACAAATTAAATTTGTAAATGTATACTGTGCAAATAATATTGTTATGATCATTAAATTTTTTTCAACCAACTATCAAATTATATCAAACTGATGTCATTATCAATTTCATACATCATTGATTTATGATTAGATAATCAAATTTATATAATATTTTCTATATGATAATTTTCACTATGAACACACATAGTGACATATAAATTTAATCAATCAGACGTATTTTCTATATGTGTTAAAATTTCACTTGTAAAAACTTTGTCCAAAATAATTTTATTAAGATTTAATTCAATAGCCTAAACTTAATCCAATTATTCAGACCAAATTCAATGGATTTTTACATCTAAGTTTTCAATTCATCATTATTCTAGTTGATGTTTATTTCATCATTAAAATATTAATTTTAATACATATTTTTTATCATGAAATTTGTAATAACAATATATTGATTTATTTATTCAAAATATTGTAGTAATATAAAGGCTACATTATTACTTTTTTCATTATATATTAAAAATGAAAAAAAGTGGTTAATGATTGAAGAAAATTAGAAATGATTTTTAGATTTTTTTAAAAAAATTGATTGATTTTAAGTCCAAAAGGTATAGTTTGTAGAGTACTATGCCACTAGGAGTCAGATAATAACAACTGTACATCTTCTATTCACAAGCGCTCATTGCATTTCATTGAGAATATGTCTTTTGTAAAGAATACAACAAGATTTATTAAAAATGACATTTGTCACTTTTGACATCTTTTTGTTTATTGTGACATCCGTCATTTTTGAAAAGTGACATTTGTATTGAAATCATCCAAAAAAAGTTTTTATAACGTCATACTGCCATTTGTGCATGATGTGGCAAAAGAAAGGTTAGAAAAATCCGTTTGGCAATTGTTATTCTTCCCTTGAACAAAAAAATAATCAGATTTTATCAAGCATGTGTTCACAAAGGTCGTTGTCAAACCTCTATTGAAATGCGTGAACATTAAAAATCAAATGGAATCATGTTTCTTGATTGATCTAATCAAAATTCAAACATTGTTGAAAAATGTTTTTTTGTCGCGAATTTGAATCATTGTCTTCACAAGAAGCTTGTTTTTAACGCGTTTGACAATTCTTTGTGTTTTTCTTTGATATGATCAATATACTTCAATAACAAATGTTTATCAACATATGTTTCAAATCCATCTATAATATAAGTAATAATTATTTTTGTCGACCACTTGACAATGGAGGTAGATATAACTAGAACTACCTCAAGCTCACGAGTATTGTTGTTTGAATTTACTTCACTTGAATCATTGATTCTTGGATTACAATTTATAAAACATGTTAGTTAATTTTTTTGATAGAGTTGTTCTTGGTATTGTCATACATTTGCTTGAACAAATCTCGTTTTCATGAAACTTGATAATCAATATGATCATAAATTGAATCAAACAAATTATAATTGTCACCATTGAACATCATGAATTTCAAATCTTCATACTCAAAATCATTGAGTAAATTGTGTTGTTTTGAACAAATACTGTATCCATCGCACATATCCGTCATCAACTTGTCTAGTTCAATATGTTGTGCAAGATGGATCATGTCGCGCAATTACAATCTCTTGAATGTGATTTGAATGATTGCAAAAAAATAAAATTAAAGTACGTAGCGATGATCCATCACTTATTGGACATGGTTTGTGAATGGCGTTTTTTCTCAAGAAGTTGACAAATTTGTTGACGATTCTGTAAAATACATTTCATTTTTTTATATTTAAATTTTGTTGATTTAATTTACTTGCGTCCGCAAGTAAATTAAAAAACGCATGAAACGTCTTGTACAAATATTCATGTTCAACATCTTTGGTTGCTTGTTTGACAACAATATCCAGCTGACGAAAAGGGTAGCAAATGCAGATAACTTTGTTTAAACACATTCTCAATAACCATGTGAGAACATCTCTGATTTGACACGTCATAATGTTTTTATCATCATCAAAGCCGATAAAGATGAATTTGTAAATTCAAATTGGTCAAAGCACTTTCAACAGCATGATGATCAACTACATTATTGGATTATGTAGATTCATTAACACACCATCAACAGACATTCAAATTTGCATATTCAACACAACGGTATCCCTTGATGCGATGAACCATCAACATTCAAATTTGTAGATCCAACAACAGAACCCTAATGCGTTGACAATCAACAATCAACGAGAACGTACATACGGTCGACTTGCACCACATCGTCAAAATGAATTGTAATGAAATGGCAAGCATGAACTTGACAAAATCGCCAACCATATGATTGATGATCCCGATCAATTTAGCATTATTCGTACGATTGTGATGTTGGATATTAAAAATAGCAGTCTTCCTAAACAACATATCCGCTTCTTGTGATCAATAGAAAATCAAAATCACAGCGGTTTTTGTTGTTGACAATATACTTGCCAAATTTCTAGTTTGAACAACTTTATAGCGTAAACTTTCAAGATCGGTTCCATTTCATTATCGTACTTATCCAACTCTAGTTTGAAGAACAAATTGGCAAGGAGATCATTGATTATTTACATGTTGAAAATTTAGAAAATGATAGATTCTGGTTTGCAATGGGATGTATATATAAAAATGTATACCATTGTTAAGTTTTTCATCAAAATATATTTTTTTGTAGTTGGAGAAACAAATATTGATAAGCTATACAATACTTTCCATTTTAGGTCTCTAAGAAGATTTTTTATAATTGGTATCCAAATGAGGTGTGGAATAGTCGAATGTTTTCAGTGTTTTTCTAGCACTTTCCCGGTTATACTTTACGTATGTGAAGTATTTCACGTGCACAATTTTGAATACGTTTTGAATCTTATGTCCTCACCCTAATAGCGTTTCCCGTGGAATCTGACTGTTTGGACGTGTAATGATCTCACACAAATCTCAATCGCTCTCTTGCCTCGCCACGCAATGCATAAAGCTTCAATTTTAGCTATTCGTGATATATAGCGAAATTATCATATTTCGCTATTATCAGCTTCTATTTCGTCATTATCATAAGTGAAATATAATATATTGTCAAAATTTCGAAAGTGACAACCTCCGAGTCTCAACATTAAACAGTTGAGAGAAGAGTTTAGATACTACACGTGTCACAATACTTTTCCAGATTGAGAAATCTGAATTGTGATATCGACCTAATTTTATTTGTGGCAAAGGTGTCATTTATTAATAAGCGCCAAGTTTAATGAGCCCTCGAATAAGAGCAGAAGTGGTGGTCGTAGCTTTTCCTGCCGGGCTGCGACCGCGCTGTGGAAAGGCGTTAATAGTTAGTAGTGATTTGAGTTCGTGAAACCGATGAAACTGTGCGGTGTTGCACAGTGTAACTTGAATGATTCAAGTGGGCTTCAAGTGCTTCGACTCCTGGTGGATGGCGGTTCAGAGCTCCAATATGGACATGGAGCCTTTTAGTAGTCGTCAGCATCTTCAGAGATTGTAGACGGACCTGCCCCAGAGCTCGTGTCACAGAATTGGCAGAGCAGATCTCATTTTGGTTAGCTGGAGCTGGCACCTTGAGCGTCTGGGTTGCTAGTAGTGCAGCCGTGAGTACATTACTCCCACCCAGTCTTGAAAGCCAAACTGCTCGATGCCGAGCCGATCGCCCTGCGTCTAGCAGATTCAGTCGATGGTCCGAGAAATGTCGACCAGGGGACAAAGCAGCGCAGAGAACCGTCACCGCAAGCTTCGGTGCAACACCCCTCTTCGACTTCCTCGCGCAAATCTCCGAAACCGATCCACCGGGAGCATATTTTGAACCAGAAACCATCGAAAGCGGCCATACTTCAGGCGGTGCTAGCGTCCTTGAATTCATCACATCAAGAATGTTTGCGTTACCGAGCGTATTAGTAATATACTACTACGCTACCGATACATAGTAGCTATACTCTAGACTAAGAACGTTCAAAGAGATAGATAAACATGATCTGCATCAACCGTGGAGCCTGCGAAAGAAACTTGAGAAATGCTGGAAGATGTAAGGCTTGTTTTTGCAAGGCTTGTTTTTGTTTTGAGGTTACCTATAGTGAGATCGGGGGAGGGCAGCTTCTTCTATAGTAGAGCTGGTGGGTGGAAGTTAGAGGCTAAGGCGGAAATTAATCCCTGTATATAACATAGACATGTTTGAGAATCGAAGGACCATGCAATTGACTGTACTTCTCGTAGTTAGAAGAGAATCCAAAGTGTGCTACAAAACTTAGTATCCGCTTGACTCCACCGCAGGCGCCGAGCTTCATGGAAATGGAAGAGCATGTGAGTCTGACCCAAAGCATGCATCCAGAAAAGGATACCTAAAAAAAAACAGAAAACAACAACACACCACTTGACAGTGCAATATGCAATTGTTTCCCCCCAGTTTGAGACGGTATTCTATAAAATCGATTATATACAGTATAGAGGAGACTGGTTCATACTATTTTTTATTGTTTCTATCCAGATCCACACTATTGTGTTGGTGTTGATTGATGATGATACTGAAGGTCGGGAGAACCAGTCGAAACGGCACCACGAGTGCAGGAAAATAAGTGGCGGTCCAATGCTGCTGCTACATGGTGACGACTGAACCAGTTCCATCCTTGGCCTTCGGAATAGTGAGAAGGGAGAAGTGAGCAAGTGGGATTCCGTGCCATAAACATGTTCCCCTTCCAAGCAACAATCCAAAGACCAGTGCGTTGACAGACTTTTCGTCACGCATCATTTGCCTCGCAACTATACTATCGATTCCTGGCCTATACACCTGCTTGCGCCTGAATGCATTTGCAGATCTGTGCGTGGTCGCTTACGGCCATGGGTTCCAAGCACAGCTCTCCTGTTCGCCGTCGATTTAACAGACGATCTTCTGAGCTGAATTGTGTCCATTTGGAAGCATCCAGACACGGACAATCTACTCAACTATCGTCAGCTCGTTCTTCACGACGAGCTGCAAGCTTTCAACTGAAGTCACGAGTCTGAGAACTTCGAGATCGACTTCCATATTAGCGACATCAAATCCACGTGGATTTTTATCAGCTGATTTATCCGATTGGTGATCGGATGAATTTCGTGGAGGAAAGAAATGCTCACGCAGTTGTGCAGCCGTCCCTCTTCCCGACCAGAGGAGGACTCCGTTCCACGTTCCAGCAAGAGTTAGTGTTGCTCCCACAGACAAGAGCAAGAGAACCACGGGCACAAGCACTAGCGGATGATCCCATGGTTTTATGGACGCCGTTTCGACTGGCAGGTTGTCGGATTGGGGATCGAACATTCGGAGTCCCAAACTGCATCACAATATCCGTTCCATATCTCTGTGCAGCTCTCTCATGCGGTTGGTCGAAGAAAGAATCTGATTTCAAGATGGAATCTTTCTACACAGCTGTTCTTCATTGGCTCTTGCAGGTGCGAACAGTTTGTGGATTTGGATGGCTGGAACAGTGGGTCGACAATGTCGCTCCAGTCTACCCATCTACGTGAATTCTTCATTCCTGCACATTTATCATGTATGGGAAAACAGAACGTCCAATAGTGGCATATCCACAGTGGACATTATTTCTTCTCGGGTGCATCAACCGAGCATTTGAATAACTGCCACATTCTTCTTCTTCTTCTTTTTCCTCTTCTACTGCCAGAGTTGTAAGAAGAAAGCATTCCTATAAAAAAAGCTGCACCAACATCCTTCCTCCGGGCCAACCAATGTCGACAGTCTAACCAACGACGTTCCAGCATTGTGAGTTCAATGCACTCCACACTCAACCGGGTCAGCTGTGGCATTGTTCGAGTTACAGTCCGAGAGAGGACGCGTCCAACAGCTTCACACGAGAGCCTCCCAACAGGTTATGGTGGATGGATGTGAGACATCGAATGCCTTGCTCAACTGTCTTGTTTTTTACCGGTTTCTAGATACGGGTACCGACTCAACAACGATCTCAGGTGACGCCTACGACCCACCTGCGACTGTCAGCTCCCTACGAGAATCCCCCAAGGTGCAGTCGGATGAGACAGATAATTCTCTGCACAGCAGTCGTCTCTCGACTTATTTCCTTCGTCTTATCATGTCCTGATTAGTAGGTGACATTACCATTCCAAATGCTGGTCCCACGACCCTCGCAACTCTCCCAATGTCCAATAGTTTCACGTACCGTCATAATCGTCACCACTCTCACATTCGATTCCATTGTGCCTCGTGTCTCCCGTTATCAGATTCCCCCTGTGCTGCGGCCGGTCTAGATCACTCCTCGGACTGCTAGAGAAGTCGGACAATTCTGCTGATGCATCTGGATCGCTGTCGGCTGCAACCTGGTGTCATGCTCGCTCGATGCTTGCCATGACTCGTGCGAATCCTGTTGTGTGGTTAAACCGCTTAGAGATGGCGAACAAAAGTTACCAATTGTTAACGTTGAAGCCCTGCTCCAATTGACTGTTCTGGAGACAAAAGCCAAATGTCTGAGCTGTCCCAGACATATCGTTATTTCCATCCTGTAGTGCGAGACGAAACTTCCCCCGCACGCGTATGGAACCAGAAAGTGAAGTCCTTGCTCTGGATACTGTTGGACTCGAGACATTGTGTCGTCAAGTATGGTATTAAATGGTAAATGGTAATAGATCAAGCCCGAGTACCCAAAGGGTCAAAAGGCTGAAAATTCACAGTACAAGCGAAAAACCACAAACAAGGGAAAAGACCCCAAAGATCAATCCCTAGCAAACACTTCAGCTGCGCTGAAGTTCTTTCGTGACTTACGCTCGCGGTCTGTTCGCAACTCTGAAATTCAGACTTAAGACTCCTGAGCAAAATCCAGTTTTAGGAACAGTGCTTTTGCCTCTGGTAACTGCCAGTTCTTGGTGAATCGTCTTACGCAGCATCATAGTTTTCTTGCCTGCTGTGTGACTCTTGCCCCTTCCTCATTCAGGACATACAACTGATCGTTCTGACAACGACGCAGCGCCCTGAGAGAGCAACGAAGAAGGTTGGTTACCGAAATTTGCGTTGGTCAAAACCTTCGGCACGGATGGATGGATCTAAGCAAATAAATGGACTCAAAAGTAGTTCACTACTTCAGACATCTCTATATTCCCTCTGTAATCCATCGTCTCTCTACAAGACTGGAATGTCTCGAGGCTTGCGTCTTGAGCCAAGACGTGCTTATCATCGAGATAATCCGGATACAGTACATTGCCCCTTGCTTCAGTGCTTCATTGCATTCGACTAACTGACTAGATATTTAGATTTCTAATTTTCTATGAAGCAGGTTTGTTTATGTGTGCTGTTTCAAGTGCTGATTTATTCCCGGAGGCTAACGCGAGAGTAGCAGATGTCTGGAGGATGGATTGGACCAACTTGGTTCGGTTTCGAGCATATGGAACCTTGAACCTTTCGCTTAAAGATACACGTTAAAGAAAGCATCGCGGTTTGAATAGCGGAGTGCAGCAAAAGGGAGCCATGGTGGTGAGCCACACAACAAAGCTGCGAAGCACTCTTCTTAGTCTCCACGGGTTACACCTAATAGTTTGAACCGCATGACGTTTGGACAACGCTTTCTTCTAACTTACACGGTTGAGAATCACAAACTTTTATATACAGAGAGATTCGTCCTGCCATTGCATGAAAGGTCAAGAGTAAGAAGCAGCCATTTAGCACTGGACCGTATTTTATGAAAATTACATGTCCGAGATTTTATCTCTTTCCAGGAAGAGTGATGACAGTGATAGTTGCCCTTCCATAGTCGTCTAGTACTACAAGAACGAATGTGAGAAGTAATGAAATAGGTTGGAGGGATAATTTCAGTAGCACAAACATGGATCGTTGTTATGAACATTCCCAGAACATCGGAACTCTGATCTTCCTTATGGGCTCTACTTCATAGAACTTCTTTTTAATTTTACTAGATTCATGATACTCATCTTGTAGCAAAGCTTAGAAAGCTTTGCTACAAGATGAGGGCCCGAGGCTTGATCGCCATTGAAGTGTACCATAGAGATTGGAATCGAAGAAGATGTCACTTGTGCTGCGCCAGTCACGCCAAGCCGCCGCTCCGGAGGATTCCATGTCGACGCATCGTTCCACTGGGAAGAGAACGAGAGCACCTCCGTCGCCTCCTCGTCGCTGGGAGTTCGGCCTACCGCGAAGTTCACTTTTCGACCGAGATTCGAGTTGCAGGTGCTCCTGCTGAGAAATCAGGAATGTTACTAGATGAGTATCATGAATATAATAAAATAGCACCATGGAGATGATCTCGTTGTCCACACCAATTAGGGTATCCGACTGCAAACTCTTCTCAACTCTCCGAAGCGAACTCAGATTACATCCTAACTTGACTGTTCCTGCGTGTTTGCACTTTGGATTTCGCTCCGTTATCATGGAGACATCAGGCAGAAGTGGATAGAGTTACGTGAACAGATTTCCCATGCGTCTGACCAGATGTTGACGAATACGGGTTGAGAATGAGGTCTCAAGCAAGTCTTCTTATGCTCTGCCTGAACTACACGAGAGTCAGTTTTCAGCATCTAAAGAATTTCAGAAGTAACAAAGGTTGAAACAAGATTTGAGAATGAAAATGAAAGGCTGCATATAAAGTCCATTATACTGGGAACTGGGAAGGCAGCAAAAGAAATCGGAGAATGGAGGGAGTTCCAAAATCTCTGACAGATATCAGAATGCTGCTCCTTGAAAATCGATGGCTTCTATAATGAACAAGTGCTTTTTTTCAGGAGAGTGAAGATATTCGTGATCGAAGATACATCCTCTTCGATCCTCGTGGAAAAGCGGAGCGGAAACAAAAAGTGCAACCACTCGTCGAATGAATCGAATTGTCACTTCCATCTACGTCTCCTCTGCGCTCATGCTTGTGGAATAGTCCAAACACTCTGAAGACTCTAACAAATAAAGCACCCCGAACTTTCATCTCTCGCTTGCGAAGTCAAGAGATATGGTTTTCTTGAATTTGTGGGCACGAACATTGCGATTTCAAGTGGAACGGAATGATTTGCACATAAACATATTAACAGTCTTCTACAAATCATCGAATAAGTCTGGACTGTTGCCTATCTCTGTACCGGTTTCTAATTGTTCGTGTGGATGTACGTGACTGGAATCTAGACTGAAAGTATCTGCTCTAAGCTGTTTGTATTCCGCCTTCATCCATACTCCGAATCTTTCTCAAACACAAAAGAACCATCACTGTCGTCGGTTACAAGGCAACACTCCTCTAGCGCGACAAATCTCGTGAAATCTCTCTCGAAGACAGTGCACTGTGATGTCCTTGCAATTGCAGTTTCCTTCATGTGTCTCCTGGTCAGTACTCAGTGACAGTTCCGGACATGACTGCATGACTTGTGACCGAACCTTTACCATAGGCCGCACACCTCCTTTGGCATTCGAGGCTACTCGAAAGTGCACCGCTTTCACATGACGATGTTCAAGACAATGAAGTGAAACGACTTGTGACGTCAATTACGTGCTCACGCTTGAATTTAAAATTAGGTAGGAGAATTTCTTTGAATTAGTAACGTTTGCCTAAACGTTACTCCATCAAAGTATCTGCAGCGGAGGAGCGTGTCAGGAAATAGAGGTTATTGATTTCTTGATTTTGCTTTTCTGTAACGACATCAAGAAACAAGAAATCAAGAAGCCACAACCAATAAATGACTTTAGGAGAGACGAGAGTGTGTGTGAGTGAGAGTGACAGGGGTGGTGGTGTCAATCTCTTCCGTCTGGTTCGAGCGCATTCTGTAGAGATAACGAAGTGTAGCGGCTAGTTTCGTCTCGGCCCTTGATTTGTAACTTCTGAGGATTTTTTGTGGAGAAGAGTAAAGTTTGAACCGATTTCTTGGGTAATGAGAAGGAGGACGAAGACGAAGACGAGCACGAGCTTGAGCTTGAGCTCGAGGAGGAGCACGAGGACGACAATTGGGTGCACTTTCGAATGGGGAAGTCGTCGTGTCTTGTGGCAGTCTCGTTTCGTTTCGACGCAGTGGTCGAGGTTGGTGGCTCTTGTTGCGTGGCGAGGAGTGGCGTTGCTTCTGCGGTGGGGATCGGGGTTTGATGGAATGTGTCGGAGTGCAGGGAGGGGAGAAGCGGAGGAGTGATTTGGTTCGAGGTTTTTTTGGGTGTTGGTATTGTCTCTGTGGGAGGGAGGAAAGAATCGGAGGATTGTGATTTTGGAGTAGGGAGTGGGAGGAGGTGACAGGTGGCCGAGTGCCGCTTGCTGTTGGGGAGTTTCTATGGAGCTGGCGTCGTCGAGTGTGAGCACGCCTTCGCAGTGCCTGGCGGAAGGGGTGGCGTGCATCAGGGGTTCTGATAGTGGTGGTGCATCTCACACCGTTGTGGCGTCTTCTTCTTTTTCTTCTTCTTGTTCGTATGGTGTCTTCCTGCCGAAGCTGCGTCGTTCAAAGGAAGGAGTGGGGGGCGAGGGTTGTAGCCCCAACAGATCGGCTTTCAAGCGGCTTGTCAGGATCGTTGTACAGAAGTTTTGAGCTCGAAAGGCCTGGTGGTAGTCCGAGGGCTCGTTGTAGTGTATGCGCAGGCTGTCGAGTGATGTCGTCTTCGTCGTCGTTGTTGGTGTTGGTGTGCACTGGGAAGAAGGAAGAGGAGGAGGGTGGAGGGACGAAAGAAGCACGGCGGTGTAATCACTGTGATAAAGTAGAAGGTCCCGCTACTTCGTTAAGCTGTGTCGTGTTTTCGTTCGGTCCTGGCCCTCTATTTTGAACCCGGTTCTAGTGCAAAGTGTCGTACTTCCTGTTTCTGATGACTTGATCCGAAACCTGCACGAGTCCTCCTCACTGGATTCTGCATAACGGGGATTCTCGACCAGACCATCAAAAGGAAGAGAATCCGCTGACAAATCTCGAGTGTCAGTATCGTCCCCAGTTTTCTTTACTTCAAGCATATTCTTCCCTCACATCTGTTTATGATTCGTGCACTTTTCTGTTAATTTCGTCGTGTCCTGATGGGCACATTCCTTTAAGACGGGCGCCATTTATTTAGAGATAATAACTCCCAAAGCAAATTCTTTTCTTAACTTAGACTGGCATTGGTGTAGAAAGCGTGTCGATACCTTTGGTAGCTTAGATAGCTAACACATGATTCATGGAAAGCGGACCAGAGTTCATGCATACAAGCATCGCACCCCGGCTGGACGTGAAGTGGATCTGCGAATGGGTGAACAGAAACTTGTGTAGGAAAGACTGTGCCGTGTCACCACCTCTCATCCCGAAGGTCAAATAATCAGTTGAAGCAATGGAGTCGAAAATGGACCAGTACGAGATTATGGAACAGATTGGGCGGGGCGCGTTTAGAAATGCAGTACTTGTGAATTACAGGCTCGAAAAGAAGAAGTATGTCTTCATAAAGATCCGTCTCGCTCGTCAGACGGACCGATGTCGACGATCTGCCCATCAGAGATGGCTCTTGACTCCAGGATTCAGCAACCGGTTATCGTTGACGACAAAGAAGCCTGGGTAGAGAAGGGTTGATACGTTTGCATCGTGACCGGCTACTGTGAAGGTGGTGACATGGCCGAAGTTGTTAGGAAAGCCAATGGCCAGTACTTCTCAGAGGAGAGACTATGTCGATGGTTCGCCCAATTTCTTGGACCGTATACTACTTGCACTCAAATCACGTTCTTCACAGGGATCTTAAGTGTTCCAACATTTTTCTCACAAAGGATCATGACTTCCGACTTGGAGATTTTGGGCTAGCGAAAATGCTGGCAGCGGATGACTTGGCTTCCTCTGTGGTTGGAACCTCAAACTACATGGGTCCAGAACTTCTTGCTGATATTTCGTAGGGCTTCAAATCAGACATCTGGTTAATAGAATGCTGCATGTACGAGATCACAGCGCACAGGGCAGCCTTTAAAGCCTTTGATATGCAGGGACTTCATATCAGCAAGATCAACTGATCGAGCATTGGACCTCTACCTGCCAACTAATATAGCTCATTGACGGGTTTGATCAGGAGCTATCCTGAGATGATGAATCCATCAGCACGGCAAGGGAGACAGGAACGACAACACGAAAATCCGGGCATGGACGACAATGCTGAGTGGGTATTCCAGGTTGGAATCGGGTCAAAGAACGCTGCAGCCACTGCAAGTTTATTGGCAGGATTCTAAGTGGATTGTGTGCAATCCAGACGACGTTATTCGACGTCGAGTTAGCAGAGGGTGGGTCTGCGATCCTTGCAAACGCTGCTAAGTGCACGTATTGGCCCGGCAAGTAAGAAACGGCCATACGTACTCATTATGACGTGGGACGAGCAACGCTTTCCTGTTTCAGTCGCGAAATTTTTACAGCCGTCCCACCGATCGAGCTCACTCGTGCTTCGTAGTCCGAATTGCTTTAGGCGGAGAAGCAGCGAAAGCAAATTCTCGAGTGACAAGTCAGGGAGATTTCAAATCCCTCAGTGACGACCAATGGCGTGAATGTATGTGGCTCGATCATGTCGATGGCGCTGACACGAGGACGATGACTCTTGAATCTCTGCGACTGCTTTAGTTTGTCAAAGTTCACCCCGATCGAGGTTGATGCTCGGGGGGAACGCGAAGTGATGTGGCAGGATAAGCGATCATCGGTGGGAGGTCAGAAAAACGGCAGCAGGAGCCATCTGGAATGGCTGAAACGATCTATGACGCACCTGATCCGGTGGTCCACGGGGATATTCGTCTACGTGCTTCGGATTTAGTTTTCCGATCTCGACCTCGAACAAAGTAGACCAAACAGTGGGATTCAAACCTTCATCTCCATTGGAGCTGACAGTCCGACACAGATCGTCTGCCAGTCCCAGAGGTCGGAATGACGCGAGTCGCTGCGAAGGTTTCTGTGAGATATGTATGTACCAGTTTATTATGACTTTCATTCAATCATTCCTCTTGCGAAAGCTTGTAAGCAGATTGCATATGAGCAACCAAGCCAACAGTAGGAGACCATAAGTGACACGAGGACAAGTGAATCGGACAAAGATCAAGTCCTGCCTCACGAAAGCACAACTCAGAAAGCGGAAAGAAAGCTTGAGCTTCGGATCTGTTCTTGACTTCTTCAGGCTTCTTGCGGCTCCTCCGCAGACAGATGAGGCAGGTGCCCACCTTTGTCGGTCCCTAGTTTGTTCGTTGGCTGGCCGGTTGGTTGGTTTGTTGGTGATCGAATAAGTGTCAAAACCACTCCATGAACTGAGCCCAATGGCAATCGGAGATTCAAGATGACTCCAATTCTTGTTACAAAAAAGCGCCCGAGGAATCTCTGGCCTTGACGGTTGCGGTGGCAGGAACTTTTCTACCACTGTTAGGGCCTGATGTACCTCCCTCCATCAAGCGTTTAACTACACCTGCCTCTCTCCGTGCTATGTGAGCAGATATCATTGTGCAAGGAGCCAAAACTCCGCCGTATCTATCTACGTGTACAGATACAATCGATGTGAGCTCCATCCTTCGCAGTACCTTCTGAGCTTCACGCCTTCATCCGCTTCGTCGACCTCCTCCCCTGACTCGGCTAAGTGATACGGTGGCTGCAGCACGCGTGCTGAGCAGCTAAAAAAACCCTGCAAGCTATTCGTAATCGGACAAGGGAATTTGGAGGCAGATTCCGGTTTGGCGTCTACAGTTCAATGAATGCTGGGGCGAGCTTGGCAACACCTGATCAAGATATAGGCCAAACTTCCGAGCAAGGGGCCAAGAAGGTGGGGTCCTTAAATTTGGGAAGAGCGACCCCGATAGATCGGATCGAAGCCAGATATATTTTGTCATGCGCGTGAGCGAGGTACACGAAAGTGGGTGGACTTTGTTTCCTAGTGCTTCACGGATCCCAAAGCCTCCTGTAGATTCCAGGACGTACAGTCCCCAGGACTGATCTATACAGCGTCAATGGCTTCGTGACACCTATTTCCTGCCGTCTCACTTGTCGCGGTCTGAGAATAGAAACGAAACTGCAATTCCATGTCCTAATAAAGTGCCCTGTCCCGTGGCAGACGTCCAGGATAAGAGACCCGGATGTGCATTATCGGATTCTATATAATTATTTGATTTTCAGCAATTCTGGCAACATTCCAGAAACTGTGGATACGGGTTACTCGGAACAAATTTGCATCCTGTTCGGACTCCATCCTCTCTACACTTCCGCTATGCATGCATGGACCTCCTTCACCTGAGCTCCGGATCCTGACTGTGGTTATAATGTCCCCAAGTGGTGCCAACTGCTTGACTCCTACATATCCTCCCAATTCTGGTTATTATTTTTCGTAACGCGCGTATGATTCGTATCTCTTACTAAGGTGAAACCAGCTCCGTCGGGGACTTTGGGAAGGGCGGAATCTCCATGCGGAGATGGAGGACTGGATTTGGAAGGTATCTCCCGGCCAGACTGCTGAAAAATAGGTCGACCAGAGATGGAGAAAAGAAGCAAAGAAGCGGGTATCGACATTGAGAAGAACCTCAGTGTCATTGTTCGCGAAAGTATTCGACGATAGCCATGTCGAGTTGGACATGGCTATCGTCGAAGAGAGAGAGAGAGAGAGAGAACGCTGGCAGTCACTCCACCTTCGCAACCAGGCCAAATGGTAGCGTTTGAATGCGGACGGATTTGCAAGCCGGTTTATACAGGATGTCATAGGAATGGGGAAAAGACAAGCGGGGGGCAGGGAGCCAGCATGCAATCCGGATTACGTCGAGGGCCAGCTTGACGCATGTCTAGGTGGGATGGCATTTCGAGGACAGAAGAATACTGGATCCGATGCGCGGATACAAATGAAGTAGAGAGCATGTCTGAACGAGGGTTGGGGGAGGGTGGAGGGCATGTGCCGGGCACAAGAAAGGGACGGAAAAGGACGCGCCGCGAACCGTAGGACGAGAATCTAGTGGCTAGAGTGAGACATGAAGGTGACAGAGGCCCCCGAGGGGTGGAAAGTACCCCGAGAGATGCAATGGAGCAAAAAGTAATGAGAACATTGAGTAACGCGGTAAGGGCATGGAGCGCTTTTGGAGTTCCCGGCTGCAATTTTCTGAGCCATGACACCTGCAGCGTAGCCAGCCCCTCCCTCCCTCCCTCCCTCACTCCATCTTTGACAATCGGCGACAGAGCGTGCTGCTAGCCCCGGTGCCCTTTTGACGCACACACTGCGTCAAGCTCTCTTCTCGGACACAAAAGGCGGTAAACCACGTCCTTCGTGTTGATCTCTGATTGCTCTGCAGTGTACTATCAATATTCGGCAAATGCAATCGACGCGTGATCATGAATTTGGCGGTTGCCATCTCGAATTCTGGACGCAGCAGCAGCCCAGCCCAGCCAGCAAAAGGTACAGTCTCACGTTCCGACTTCACATCGACCAACATACTTCAGGTCAAGTGCGTGAGACAAATCGAGCTCGTGCCACCTCGCCACGGCGAATCAGTGACGGGTGACTCGCAGCTGTTGTGGAGCTAGGAGCCGAGTCTAAACGTGGGCATTGGGGGTCGGGGGACGAGGACGAGGACGATGGAGTGAGTGATCATAAATGATTGTTGCATCGAAGAACGAGGCGGCGAGCAAGTGGCCCTAGGGCCCTATCTATTCTCCGTTCCCACACTGGCTGTACTGCCGCAGCATTTGCAGCAGCCTCAGGGTGTACTCTAGGGTATCTAAGAGGGGCCATGACCGATGAGCACGGACTCGAGGCCGACCGATCGATCGTTCGATCGGTCCACGGGTTGGGAAGAGGACAGATTGCAACTCGTCTCAACCCCCAGCTCGGGAAATCGACTCTGAATCCACGGATCGCGTCTTCCACTTGACAGAGTCGCGTGCATGAGCTGCGTAGGTTTCTTTCTACTCGAGCTCTGTAACTTCCAGATCGATTCGTGATGTCACGGGCTTTGCCGAACCTTGCCTCGCGCAGCTCGCTCGGTCTGTGCGAGCACACGCATAATCTGTGCCCGCCACCGCAACGATTCTTCCAGTATTTAAGTGTATCACCTTCCTGACCATGAGTTCCTCAATTCCACGAGCTCGAAACCAGAATCAGCCTCACGGTAACAGCATAGTACGAAGTGGCTAATACATACTCGAGTACTCTGTCAATGTTCATCGAATCTGGCTTCATAAATTGCAGAATGAAGGAGTGGCTCGTACTCGTCCACTGATTTCCAACTGCCTTGCGATTCATATCTACGGAGTCTACCGCGGATATTATCTACATTCCGAGGATCGGGTACTCGAAAACTCAGGCATACGTCAGACTTCTTCGACAGGAGAAAATGATCAGATCAGAAAATTAGCCAATTACGTTCGCTCATTGTGCTCGATAAACCTTTGAAAAATGGGGTCTCGGATCTCAGAATCGACTTCACTTGCAGAACGTATGCACACTATGGCAGTTTGGCAGATCGTCCCGCTCTCGTACTGACCCAGGTCTACTTTCTCCGAGTATACAAAATGAAATTACACCGAGCGGATTGGCAGTCAGCCAGGCGATCTCGTGCCTCAAATCTACACTCGTCAAAGATGGAACAGCAGCCGGCAGGGCATGTCGATTTTCAACTGCCCGAGCAGCAAAGATGAAATCGACTGCGCTCGGAGCTCCAGCATCGATGAAGTTGTTGCCTTGGATAAAGACAACGTGGCAAATCGAGGGACGCTCTGTCAGCATAGGAAAAAGCTGAACGCATTGAGACCCAGCCACGTGGCGCCCGTACTTGGACGTGGGCCACTGAGCGAGGACGAGACGACGAGTAGGACTGGTCCGCTGGGGATCGAGGTCCACTCGTCGCCGGGCACTCTCGTGAATGTGGCGGAGAAATTCATCGCGTCGAGCCTCGAGTATCGAGATCGCTCGGAGCCACGACCCTGGGAAACGAGTCACGAATCGTTTCTGTTGGTGGTGGCAGACATTGGGTTTGAGAGAAGGGCGTGGAGTGATGGTGATGGTGATGGACTCGGTGACGAATGGGAACTCTTGCGGTGTCTCAATCCTGATGTCGACAGCCGCCGGCCAAGTGGGCGTTGTCGTGAAGGTGAGCGACGGCATTCGTTCCCGTTCTGGAGCTGCAGTCGTCGTAGTCGTCGTTGTGTGCGGATCGATATTAGTTTCTCTACAGGCTCCATCCACGTGACGACGGTTCCCCGGCCTCGACGAGACCACGGAAGCTCACGAAGCTCAAGATGGTTGGGGGAGTCGTAGGCTCGTCGTTGGGAGCGAGCGAGCGAGCGAGAGAGAGGACGATCGTAGGTTCCCCTATTACAACTCACTCACTAACCTTTGTCCACCAGTGGCGTCAGTCCAGCACAACGATCTCTCCCTCTCTCTGTCTATCTCATCTCTCCTCTCTCTTCCTGGTCTCGTCGTCTCTCTCTAAAACCGAATCGTTTTCAATTGGAGCTCCTGAGACCAGGGAATCAATAAATCCAGCAATCAATTGTCGTCGCTGTCCTGCTACACCCCTCAATGTCGTTCACTCCAGTCCCACCCAGTACCGTAACCGAAATATTACCAACTCCTCCTCCTCCTCCTCGGCCCTTCGTCCTCTCGGCTCGTTTACTCTCCTCTCCTCTCCTCTCCTCTCGTGAATCCCCTTCCCCTCCTGTCCTCTCGAGACGCAGCAGTAGAGGCTGCGTTGTTTTGCCTCTCTGAGATCCGACGGCACCACGGCGCCCTGACACATTCGCGGGGAGGAAGAGGATCCCGTCATGCCATCCCGAGGCTCGATCTGCCCGGCCTCATAACAACAGCGGCAGCACAACGACTGACAGGCCGGGGAGGGGAGGGGAGGGGAAGGGGGTTGAGGTTCTGAGAACTGTCTTCGTCCCTCCCTCCCTCGCAACTTGGCTGCGTCACAAGCGCTGACAGCTGATCGAGCCGAAGCTTTTGAGTCATGTGCACTCGCGCAGGCACGCAGCCGGGACGGAGGGAGAGGGAGGGAGAGAAGTAGGTACGAGTATTTAGGCGACATGTGCTTGTGGACCACCCATGCCATGCCCCCTACTGCTGTACTTCTACTTCTACGACTACTACGACTGCGGACGAGAGGGGCGAGGACAAGCATCGAGCTGCCTGGCCTGCCTCATGCTTGCTGCGTGCGTCGGATGATGGTAGGGCAAAGCAGCAGAGGTGCACTTTGGAGAAGTGGCGCTCCTGGTTTCGTACAGGGCACGAGCAGGAGCGATGAAGGTCCCTTGCGAACTCTACGACAAGAATACAACCCACAGCCCCATCTCCGAAGCAGGGACGAAGGATCGAAAAAGTCTGCGCCATAAGCGCAATCCTCGATGCCTGAGTCCGTCATTCAATACAATCATTGCGTGCGTCCGTCAGTCAGTGCGCCAATTTGCTGCTCTTTCTCTCTCTATCTCCCTCGGACCCCGCTCGCCCCTCCCTTCGGTGTTCTGATCCAGTGAGCGCCCTTCTGCGTCTCTGAGACTCTGACCCCCTCGCTGCGCAGAATTACGGGTAGATATTATTTCCTCCCTCCGTCCGGGCTCTGAACTCTGCACATCTCTTGACTCTGGCCTCCTCGCCGATGTCATCTACGCATGCAGCAGCCGTTCGGGCCTGTATTCTCCTCGCTCCCTGCCTCACTAACTTCTCCGCCATCAAGACCATCACGGCCTCCTTTATCGAACCTTCTCCACCGTGCGTTCCTCTCCTTTATACAGAGTCGAAGCATCTCCGAAACACCTCGAGCGCTTTTGTACTTCAAACTGCTGCCTCCCCTCACTCACTCACATCAGTCCGTGTATCAGTCAGTGTACATGGCCGCGAGCTGCTCACCGTATTCGCCCGGAATCCCACGGTGCGAAGTTCCAGTCATCGCTCGGCAAGCATCGACAAATGTTCGTTCATGGTTTCCCATTTCTGACCCGGTTTGCGGGGACCTGGTGCCGATGAACACCGAGCTACTGACTGCTGTTGGGAACTCGCGAGGTAGAGAGAGGTTTGGGAGTTTCTACGTCATAAATGTGCCCATCGTAAGTGAGCGAGACCCCAACTTGCCAATTCTCGTCGTGTTGGAAGTTTGGTGAGCCTACATGAATACAGGTAGCCGAATTCCTTGCCGCAGTGAGAATGCAATCATCAATACTTTGCATATGAATGACATCGAGACACTCCAAACGGAAGGAATGATGGCAGATGCAGACACGGTCACATTTTCTGGCGGTAGTACGTCCTTAATAATGGACTGGTACCAAAACAGTGGTATGAAAAGGACAGTCTCCATGCTCCAAGGCACGTTTCGGGCCTTCGGGCAAAGCTGGGATTTTTCTCCAAACGGTATCTTCCTTTTCGATCTCACTTTCTTTCTCTCCCCTTCGTTTTCAGAGCTCTACCTTCCGAGAAGCCTCGGAGCTGACACTCATCACGTTACAGAGTCAGAGTTCGCGGTCGCGGTCGATGATTGTCAACAAAAATTCGTCGCCCATCATCATCTTATGCCTTCCTTTAACGTAGCTTAGAAGGTAATTGACCTAAATGTTTGACATTATCCATCGAACAAGAAGGTACCAACCTCCGATATTATTGTTCGTCTCCAAATACGTGTATAAGATGTGGCACGCCTGTAGAAGATGGGGGGGCCGACCCTGCGGGCTGGTTGCACCGACCTGGGATAGGACAAATGGCTGCGAGATGGACAGGGCTGCGTAATGCCCGTGTCAAGAAAATTGGAGCATCTCAAAGGCTCGAGTTCAAATAGTTCAGATACCGGAGATCCAAGCGGAAACCGAAGACCGAATCGAGCACATCCTGCCAGAGATATGAAGTTGTACATAACAACTGATATCAATGCTGATCTTCGTACGAACGGCTAATCTTCAATGTTTGCAGGGGCTAGTCTAGTGCGTGTCGAGTCTAGTCTGAGCTCGGGCCTCCTGTCCTGGTCTTTCCCTCTTCAGGTTCTATGCTTTCGTCAAAGGACGTCATTTCCTCCACTAATTCTGGCTCAGAACAGGACCTTCCGTAGAGAAAAGGACAGTCCACCCCAGGGCTTCGCGTCAATGGCCAGTCCGAGGACCACCCCTCATGAATAACAATGTTCTCGGACAAGATCCTTCAACATACGATCTGCGTTTGCCCTCCAGCGAGGACCAGGATCTGAAGCCAGGAAGTACTGGGCTCGGTGGTTTCTCTTCCCTTACGCTTTTCCCCTGAACGGAGCGCAGGACAATTGTCACTCTGGCCTTTACTTCCGATTGACATTTGAACTACGTTTTGAGCTTTTTCCCTCCGTCCCTCCGTCCTTTCAGGACATCCCCCCTCCAGCCTCAACTCGTACGCGTTCTCAGGATCCCCCGGTACTTCCCAGATTTCTGCCCTCGCACTCATGCTCATGGTCAGACTCCTCTCGCTCGGAGCATCCTTGCTTGTAACATGTACAGTACTCCAGTTCTGCTAGCCCAGCTGCACTGAGCCTACTTCTCCTCCCTTCCCTGGATCATCTTTCTCCCTCCCTTCCCTTCCTTTCCTTTCCTTTCCTTTCCTTTCTCTGAGGATTTCAGATGCTCCTCTACGTATCCCTCGAGCATACCAAGAGTCTCGTCTATATCTAATCTTGCTCGACCTATAGTCCGATCGAGTGTTAGATTGGCCTTCTGTCGATAGTGCAATAGGTCGAGACCATCTTCAATGAAATTTTGCGTCCTATGTCGATGATGAGGAAAGGATCAATTGCGGAGGAAGAAAAGGACGAATTTAGTGAAAACTTATTGTCATTCACAGGAACGTGAGCTATGGTTCCAGAGTTACCAGAGTCCTGACAAGCGAGGCCACTGTCAACCCTCGCATGTGAGGAAATTGTGCATAGAGCCTCGAGGAACTTCACTTTCAGGCCAAAAGGACTTGATTCCTTAGAATGGTGAAACAAACACTTGATGCTAGACTGAACCGTCCTTGCATGATACACCTTGATGACTGCAGATCAGATCACAGTGGTATTAAGCGTTTCCAGAATGAGATCAAACCAAAACTAGCAGAAGTCCTCAATATAATATCGGAGAACTTGCCAAATCATTATCATTGGCCCACCTGGAGAAGCACCTGATATTCCTGTTAATGCAGATCGAATGACGCTTGACACAACCATCTGGCGCACACTTGTAGAAAAGCTGATGCATGTCTCTGTTGCTTCTACTTTCCGTTTCAATCTGCGTCCCCTGCACATACATTCTTAAATCATTGTTACGTTCAGCTGCACGTCATTTCCTTCCAAAAGTTGCCAGACCAGTTTCCATGCAAGTTCGAACCCAGTAGCCTTCTGGGACAGGCTTATTTGCTTTAGTTTTCCATCCTCGAAAAGCGAAAGGACCTCCATAAAGCTAACCTCAGATTGCGACTCTGCAGCAAATGGATTAATCTGTTAACCTGCTAAAGGGGACAACGGAGTAAATTAACATAAAGTTTGGGAAACCCTCCCATCAAACTGGACACATATGAAACCAACATATAAAAATGGGGCTAGCCCTTTTCCATCACCATGGATGATATGTTCCGGTGAGACTCATCTATCTTAACTATTTAGCACAATTCTAGCCTTAAAACATTACACTTTTTAATTGACATATTGGACTTTTATTCTCTATCATCCAAATTTACTACGCGAGAGATATTGCTCAACCTTCTAAAATTTTTGAAGTCATTATCACACTCGTATGATAGAAAGTATATGCGGATGCATGGACTAAGCCAAGTTAAAAAGGATGAGCTTTAAAAAGAATGGTTCAAATTACAACTCAACTACGATGACCAAAATATCTTAAAAAAATATAAATCTTAATTAAAAATAATGTTAACAATGTATATCGAGAAAAATATTTATGCATGTTGAAGCAAAAATAAAAAAATTATATACAACTTCAGTAGTACGATAATGTCTAAGGAAATTTCTGATTCAATCGGTTTGCAGCAAGAAAAATTTTTGAATTTATCACTAATGAAGGAATATTATTTTTATATAATAAAAGCCAATATAAATTAACCAATCTTTCATTCACTATTTTCTATCTAAAAATTATTCAAATATTCAATACAAACTATAATGAAGATGCATGAGTGTGGCAAACGAGTCAAACTTTTAAATGCGTTACCTTAATAATACCATTCACCAAAGACTCATCAATAGGATCGTTTTTAATATCTAATTGCACTCATTTTACCTTCTATGATAGCCGATCATGGAATATCTAGAGTTGATAAGTTTTATATTAAAAAAAATTAAACTCATAGAAATAAAAAAAAAGCTATCCGATTTGATCCAAAGGTAATTTTTTTCTAAGAAATCATTGAATAACTTAATAAATCCAAACGGTCAAAAAACATGTACATCAAAGTCATATTGCTTTCAAGGCATGAATGATCACATTAAATTTGACGTTGCTTATATTTTAAGAAAAATCATGCAATCATCTACAATCATGTCACAAAACATGTTCTAAAGTGCACTTTCAATCTACGCAAGAAGCCAATCCAGTAAAAAGTGAAGTGATGCAAGAGCTATGAAGTATGCACGTTTTCATGAAATGTATTAGAAATGTGCAAACTTCTATGACATTTTTTTTCTTGGAATAATCCAATCATATGCTTGTAGCTGATGATTTAAATATAGTTGTTTGTGTCATACTTGGAACAACATATGAAAATCACTATTTTAAAGATGACGTCCACATTAAAATGTATTACAAAATGTGCACTCTTATATGAATTGTTTTCCCCAGAATACTCTAATCATATGCTTGTTAGCTGATGAATTAAATATATTTGTTTCTATGCTACTCAGAACAACAACATGGGAATCACTATTTTAATAATGACGTCCACATCTTCATCAGTCAGAAAAAAAGTTGTATGAATGGTGATGACTATATCTTATTTTTTGTTAAATAGTTTTTTCTAAAGCCTCTTCAGATTGTTATAAAGAGTAAGAAAGCTCACCCATCCATCTCTCCACTTCTGATTTTATACTTTATTTCAGTGATGATTTCTCCACTTTTAAGATTATTGGAGCTTGACATGAATGCATAGTGAAGGAGAAATTGTGAAAACTATATATATTGATGAGCAAAACCTCAGGAATACTTATTAAATGTTATTTTCATATCCTCCAGTAGGATTTATAGTCTACGTGACATATAATCTAAAAGGTGTGAATTGATAATCTTAGAAACTACATGCAAATTCATAGTATAAAAATAGTTTTTTATTATGTAGTTCTCTCAAAGTAGAAGATATATATTACATTTCAAAGGAAAGCATGATTTATATCTTGTCATCTTAGTAGTTATTTTTGAAACATAAATTTTCAAAGTCAAGTGATAAAATAATGTGAATCTATAGATCCACTATGTGCGCATGAATTGTAAGAAATTTAAAAATTCAAATTTTCATGGTCACGATAACATAACTTCAGTAGATCCAAGGGCAAGTATGAATCCTCACAAAAACTCTCTATCTTGAATCTAGTCAAATTGCAAATGGAAAAATTCGTCGTCTTAAAGTCATGTTCTCAAGAGATATAAATTTTAATTCTAAATAAATAGTTTATAATAGAGAGTTTAGGGAGAGAATCGTCAATAAGTCTTGAACATCGAAAGCATTTTTGGCGTCCAACAACATCCAAGATGTTTCGTTTTCAAAGTGGATTATCTGGGACGTTGTTGTTGTTGGATGTTAGCATCCAACAACAAAAACATCCAAGATAATTCAAAATATGATTTGTGGTAAAATAGGTATGTGCCCCAATGTTCTCTTCTATCCCTCTCGAAAGGACTTGACAAAACGTCTTTAACCGTTCACCAACGCAACTCCAAGCCGAGGATGTGCCCACTGAAGTGAAGACTTTAGTACTAACCTGAAAACTGGATGCCACTGATAAGATCTGGAAGAGGATATACAATTTGAAGTGTGGATAATTGCAAATGAGTTCCTAGACTTAATAACTCCAGAAATTCCGTCTGCCTAAACCCGTCAGAATGTAATGAGACTCACTCACAAGTAATAATAACGGGACTGAAGAGCTTTGTAATAGTGTAAATAGCACTTGCCGAGCTGGTGTGTCATATAATCCCAACGTGAGTGTCCTTCTGCATGCCGTTGCAAAGACAACCATTTGACAGGTGGGCTCTATGCAAACTATTATTTCTTCTGTGTGTGTGTCCCATACCTTTCTATTACTCTTGACCTTTTCCTCTTTATACCGATCGTGGTTGCAAGTACAATGAGATACCTTTCCTCCCGCTAGTCCAGGTTACAGAAAGTATCAACTTCTGTTACAAATCTAGTGTACTGCTTTCTACCACTCGAGCACAAATCAGATGCATCTGAAATATCAACTACCCCTAAGAATATAGCACCTAACCTTTTGTGCAAAAGTACATGTGCTGCTGGAGAAGCTGATCTCGCTGAAGAATATCTCATCCGTTAACATACATTCAAATTACAACACCTTGTGGGCATGGATTGGTTCCTTTGATCTGATCTCTTCCATTAAGACAATATATTCCCTGAGCCCTGTACTTTGCATGGTTTACAGAATCTTTCAAACCACCCTCAGGGAAGTAGATAAAACCGCCAAGCACCACCTTCCCAAGATCCCAGAACCGACTCTCAACTTTGACGCCTAGTTTCCCCTTTCTTGGTCCCAATGGGCGTCCCCTCGACTTTGAGTCGCTCACTAACATGGGAAGCTTTCCACGGTTGCCAAAGAACCCCAACTACAAACAAACTCATCCAGTCTTCTCAAACCCCGTTCCGCTGTTGAATCATTCGATGCTCTCAATGCATCTGCTCCCACTCTTGGATCGTGGATACGCCCCCCACCGCGTGCAGATCCGACCTCGGTACCATTAGTGAATTCTGTGACACTCCATCGCCGTATGTAATCCACAACTCAAGCCACGAAGAGACGGAGAAGAGAAAGAGAACACGAAGGCGGAGAAACGCAGCCTTTTCAACTTTTCAGTATGGGCCTGACTTGTAGAAGACACGAGCACAGAACCGTACCACTACTTCATGCTGTATAACATAGCATGCATTGAATTGCAAGCAATAGACCATCGTCTAATGTCTTGGGTGCGATCTCAATCATCTCGTAGAGGAAGTGCGCTACGAGGACGATGTGGAAGAGGAAAAACTTAGGGCAAGCAAGCGGCCAAATGATGATTAACAATCTTGACCAGTAGGGTCAACGGGTAATGAAGTGGGGAGGCTGGAGGTTCAAGGAGCAGAAGATGAATGAAGGGAAGGGACGAGAAGGAAGACCAACGGACCCCGCGCGACCCAAATCTACGAAACGAAACTGTTAGGCGCCGGTGGTGGTGACTAACCGAAACTTCGCCAAGCGGTCAGTCGAGGCTGTATCTGAGGGGGTATCGATGTAGCAGCCAACTGCTGCCATTCGCAACACACAGTGAAATTCACATTGTACATTTAGTTAGCGAAGACCAACGGTCTCCGCACTTGATTATTACAACCGCTATTCGCAATTATTAGACTCCCGAGAGACATTCGCAAACACGCAAGCGACGCAGCCAGACAATCCATCCATCCGAGTACGTACTCTCCTGCCTCTGCCCTTGTCGACTCAACAGATTCCGTCCCGTCCGGTCCCGTCCGGTCCCGCCCCGCTGCCGCCAGACCAGGCAGGCTCCGGAGGACCGGAGCGAAAGATTGCCTGCCTGTCTTGTCTGGTCGCTCCATGTTCTTTCCGGCCCCTTGAAGCCGCCCGCTCCCCTACCGGACCGGGACGGTAGGAAGTTCGTTCGGGCCGGTGGGGCAGCACGCTATGTTTAGGTGCCGGTGCTGAGAGTGTGAGGAGTGAGCCATGGTGTGCTGAAAGTGTGAGCAAGGGACGGACGAGAAAGAAATGTCCCGTCCTCGTCCGCTTGCTGACGCTGGTGGTCATCCGCGTTCCGTTGCCAAGGTGGATGCCCTAGGCCTCCAAGAACTTTGGTGAATGTCAATGTGGCTTCATTCTACGAATTCTTTTTACGCCTATTTTTTAATCTTGTACTTAAATTAAAACAACAATAATATCAGAAGGATAATTGGGAAGAGGATGTCTTGCATTTGAACAAGAAAATAACATTGGCCTCAAAAACTTACACTGGTGGAAAGAAGAGTTAAATAAACTGGTCTATTAATGATTATCTAAATTATAGAGCACCTAAAGAAACTAGAAGCCACCACGTTCCAAATCTTCTATTTTTTCTAACTGGCTTATTTTGGCAATGTGTACATTTCTGATCTCCCTACAAATATCACTAGTTATTGCGCTATGTAGCAATCATGTTTGCTGTAATTTCTTTAATGTTCTTCAAGCATGTATGCTCACATAAATAGCTGAGGTATCTTAGTTTTTTGGAAAGGAAAACCCATTGTAAATTTCACCCCTCTGGTCTCTTTCATAAACCACTTGATGGAAAGTTCCCTTTTGTTGATATAAAGTACTTGGTTCTGCCTCTTGTGCCCGTCAATTTAATATAAGAATGCGATTTATATTCACACTATGTTCTCTTCTTTTATAACTTTTCATAAGCTAATTTTATTATGTGCTATATAATTTAGATGATTATTATACTTGTTGTTAGACCAGTTTATTTAAAATCTTCTACAAGTGTAAGTTTTAAGGCAATATTATTTTCTTCTTTAAATGCAAGAATTCCCCTCTTCTCAGTTATTCTTCTGATATTTTTTTGTTTAATTCTAGATACAAGATTCTAAAAATTTATAAAATTACTCCCAATCACTACCTCTTCTATTATACATTTTCTATGAAAGTACATCATTTCAAGTATTTTGGATATCATTTAATATAAGATTAAAAAAATCCACATTTAATATAGAATTTCTGCTCTATACACTGAATATCTATATTGACATGTATGCATGTACTTGTATAATCACTTTTATATAATTTGATATTTCAACTCAGATTTTTCAATATATGAATAAAATTAATTAATCATTTTTACTATCTATTAACTGAAAAAGGGTTTTTTTGTCCTGTGAGGAAATTACATTAAAGGTTTGAAATTCATGTTGTCTCGCCTTTGTCTTTTTATAAGGAATATTTTGAGTAAAACGATTTCACTTTGTTGAACTGTAATATTTGATACAATTAAAAATAGCACAATTTCCACCATACATCTCACATTTTACGTGAATCATAAAATTGTAAAAAATATTTTTGCTGAATTACATTAAATATGTATCCATGTTTTTGTATTACAAAAAACACTTTTTCCATTTAAGTGCTGGCAAATAGAGTGGCAGAATAGGTAGGATTCTGGTCTCAGTGTAAATCTTTAGATCTTATCATTCTATGTCAAATCAAGATATTTGATGTAGAAGATTTGTGGTTTCTTCTTACTGCGATTCACTTTATATCATATTTTGATTTTTATCTAATTTTGATTTTCCATTTACAATAACGCAATTGTAAATGGAAAATCATGCAAGTGTTGTATATAAAATTTACATTTCAGTTCTTCAATCTTGATTTCTTGAACTGAATTAATTTTTTTCTGAAAAGTCATAATTTTCATTGAATGAATGTAACGAAATGCAATGCAAATATCTCCCGAGATCATTTCAAGTTACTTCATTTCTTCTGTACTTCATTTGTATGAGGACACAACAACAATCTCCCACCGCCATTGCTTTCCAACATCTGCTCAAGTTTACTAATGATCTATTGCAAAAGGCTAAAAATATATTATCTCTATGAATGACTTCATTTTAATTTTTCCTCACATAATTATCAACAAACATCAACTTGGAAGTTTACTGAAGTTTTTGTTGAAGATAGTTCAATTTTTGGGTGTCATAACCAGGTGAATTTTAACAAATGAGGTTCAGTATATACAACAGAACATATCGAGAAAGGTCAGTAGTAACATGTCAATTTTGCACAAGTCAAGAGCACGGGTTTTTCATAATCCATGTGAGTGAAGAATAAGTTGTAAACTTATGATTGAAAACTATTACATGTATGCATAATGCATCGAGATTTTAAATGGGTGATGTATGTGTCAACTGTTAATCGAACAAGTGTGCTCTCCGTATTACACATTCAGACACATAGCATCTTCTTATTTGTACACGTATATTTTATGTGTATCTTACGGTATATGGCACAATTTCCCGCGCTTGTAGAATTGCTGAATATGATGGTTTCCATGAAGGTCATCGTATGTACTTTAAAAATATACAAAAAGTTCCTTCCGTTCTATGTACGTTTTCCAAGTAGAAAATGAAATGGAGGCACAATGTAATGCGGAAACTGAGGATTTTCAGAACGAAGAAACATCTATGGTGGCAGAAGAAAATGGTTGCCAAATATCTATTACTCTTGCACGTTCTAGTGCGAGCCAAGCAATATGGGAAAAAATATGGGCAAACCCTTGAATTCGAGTAAAAGTGGAGATGAAAGTAAATGGGACTAGGTCCCATAAAAAATCACAAAATGGAAATGGGAAGCATGCACTAGGATTTAATTTCATATGGGAATCTCAGTGGATCTGGCGACTCGAACATACCAGTCGCTACTGGGTTGGATTTGAACCCGGAACAAATCCAACGAAGACTTGAGGAGGGAGGGAGGGAGGGAGGAATTTCGGGAACGTCTACAAAATCTAGGAGAATCCGTCGAAAGTCCTGCAGCGAGGGCCATGGGAGGAACCGTGAAACATCGGCACCACCGGGAAACAATGAAACCGTGAGGAAAGGGGAAATCGGAAGGTCGGAATTCAAGCCAACGGGAAGCGGAACGGAGAATCGCAACCGATCAGACACCCGGAAACGGATCTACATAACCACACTCGGAAACGAGCGGTCGGCGTGAGAGGCGGGGAGCCCAGAAAAGCTCGACGTGAAGTTTCTTGGAGCGGAGACGAGAGCCCGGGCCCAGGGCCGATGCCCGGCCCGGCCCGCCCGCCCTTGGGCCGAGGGCGTGGGCATGGGCACCCACACGCTTCTTCTTCGCAGTTTCTTCGGATGTCATCGTGTCGTGGGAAGTGCATGGAGTTGTGACATGTCAGGGGCAGCGAAGGAGCGCGGACGCTTCTGCCATGCCCTCCCTCGCCCTCCCTCGCCCTCGCGCTCCGGAGCTGTATGCCGTCGTCGTCGGCGTCGTCGGCATTCGATTCTTGAGTGGCCGCTGCCGGTTTGGCAGGAAAAACGGCAAGAAGGATCAGCGAGCGACGAAGCAGAGCAAAGACGACAGCAGAGGGCTCAAATCGGAGCCGGGGCCCTCCTTCAGAGAAGGATGCATCGAGGAAGGTGACCAGGCAAGAAGAGGACAGGATTTCCCCGACTCTTGAATAGATTCAAGTGCTAGTTGGAGATATTTTTAGGGGCAATCAATGTGCGCCACGGTCTGCGGTGCCCTGCTCGGCCAAATTGCCAAACGCGACCTAGCCAGCCAGCCAGCCATGCCAGCCATTCCTGCCATTCCATGCCTTGCCGAGTTTCCCCACCCTAGCGCGACGCAGTGTTTCTTCCTCTGCTCGCCTCTGTTGCCCTCAGGCAGAGGAGGAGCGCCGAGAGATAGCGTAGATAGACCGTTGACTGAAATCTCCAACCACAGCACGACGAGAAAACCGCGGCCAGAAAAATTGCTCGGGCCTATTGTAGCATAATGCCGGGCGCCTTCGTTCTTGCTTCGTTCTTGCGGGTGAAAGCGGTAAACGAGCGTGATGCGCAGTGCAGTGCAGAGGGTGATGGAGTGACTGTGTTGAGAAATAATCAAAGGTGGCCCCCCTTGCCTTGGTGGGCTGCGGCGGGAGAGAGGGATGGCGGGCGGGCGGCCTGGGATGGCATGGCTGCCTAGTCCCGCTCGCTGCTTACTCGCTGGCGGGCTGGGTTGGGCTGCCTGGTGGGTTGGCCTGGTCCGCCTGTCTCGTCTTCATGTACGCTGCTAGAAAGCCGTCGTAAAGCAAACAGAGTTAGTACATTCCGTGCTCTAGGAGGAGATCGTGGGGGAGACATTCGAGGAAATTCCCCCAGTCCTGCACTAGCAGCAGGCACAGCGCACACTCTCACCCTTCCTCCCTGAATTATATGTAGGGCCTCGGTCTCATGTTTGAGTCAGGCAATCCCGATCTGCTTCTACAACAGCCTTCGCTCTCTCCCTCCTTGCGCACCGCACTCTCACTCTCCCTCATCTTGCTACTCACTCTCTCTCTCCCTTCATCTTTCTATCTCTTTCTCTCACCCCTCCGTGTGCATTCGAAGCATGCGCAGCGCCTTCATGCGCCTGCTGGTCTCCTCCACGCTCTAGCTGTACTCATCTGCCGAGCCCTTGCCTTCTCTACTTTGGTTCACTCGTTCTGTCGCGAGGGAAGGCGAATGCCTGTCCTCCGAGTGGACTCTCGTGTAGTCTGAAACACGCGAGCATGCGCAACATTTCGTGAACATTGTTCCCCTCCGAAGCGAGGTCCACCTGACCAGTTGTCCCTCCTATCGCACCTCAGCGTTCGACACCAGTCTCGCACCATGAAAATGCCCAAGATTTTTCAGGGTAAGAAATCCAGGGGCCAGGAAGTGAGCCCGTCTTCTTCTATGGAGAAATCTCCCGCGACTTCGCCGAGGGGCGTCAGGAAACCCCTCGAGAGCCGAATGTCCTACCCCGCTGCTATCACACCATCCCAGAGGCCGCTAGAGCGCCAGATGTCGTTCCCTGTCACCAAGGCGAGCGTGTCCGAAATTGAGGAGGATAAGCCCAGGAAGAAGGCTCCACGGTTGTCGGCCGAAGAGCTGCACGAGAAGGAGCTCGCCGAGGCGTTCAGACTCATCGACATGAATGGAGACGGACAAATTTCGGTCTCGGAGCTCGGAGTCATTCTGAAATGTCTCGGCGAGACTCCGACGGACGAGGACCTCAAACTCATGGTTCAAGCCGTCGACGCTGACGGGGACGGGCAAATTGACCTGCAGGAATTCATCAACTTGAACAAGATTACCTCCAACGACAAGGGTGCTGAGACCAGGTCCGAGGAACTCAGAGCGGCCTTTCACGTCTTCGATATTGACAAGAACAACCAGATCTCTGCCGATGAGCTCCACCAAGTATTGAAGAGGCTGGGAGAGCAGAGCTTAACCATGGAGGAATGTTGCCGGATGATCAACAGCGTCGATAGCGACGGAGACGGGTTCGTCAATTTCGAGGAGTTCGAGAAGATGATGTCCACTCCCGTATACTAAACACTTCCAACGACCGAGGCAATCGACTTCAATGTAAAATATTCAAAGCTACATTTTTTGAACGTGACCATCTTCCGAACTCTCGATCGTAGATGAAACTCGACGCAAGAGGTGGGGTTTCCAATCGCCGAGACATGTCATGGATCAACGAGAGGTAAAATCCATAGTAGAGAACTCGTGACGAAGGTGTACAGTATGCTAGTAGGAAACTGTTTTCTGGGTTTGTCTTGGACGATCTGAGGCAGTTCTTTTTTCTCGATCCTTTGTGCGACGGCAGCCATTAGAGTTAATGGCTTTTTCTGAAGATTGAGGTGGAGATCATCCGCACCGTTCTGCCCTGTGTGGTGCTCCATCAAATAGATGCTCTGGAGACTTGTACGAGCGAATTCAAGACCGACTGCAGGAATAACATAGACTCTTCGATCTGGGAACTTTGATTCCACTACGGGCTTCGACTCGTCTATAGTTGAGACTCCCGGCGGCAGTGACAGTGACACATATATTCGTTTGAGTCGGTATGCAGTACCAGGCATCTCATACTAATAAAAACGCAGTTTATAGCGAGCAATATTTTTCGCGTGAGATATGTGCGGAATCGATTAAATGAAGTCGTGCATATGCTCGAAATAAGTGCCTTCATTCTTCACTTTCACCTCTTCAAGAGTATTCTGTCCCGCTCTCGAAGACTGCTTGCTTTCGAGATCTTCAATTGTGGCTTGCGTAATTCTGTCATCGTACGATTTGAATTATCTTGTGAAGATTGCCTGCCAAATTGTAAGGAACACTGCAGTCCGCAGCCATATTTTGGCCCATTTTCTCCTTGCAGTCCTATTTTATCGTCCGTCTTCTAGGTTCGTTGAACGAATTATTTGGTCTTGCAAAGTGACGTACGGGTGGACCATTGGCCTCATAGCCCTTGTGCCCCATCTGACCTTTCACTTTTACGCGTCGTCTACCTCCTGCTACGATCACACTTACGTCAGTATCATGAAGTGAAGACATTCGTCTCACGGCCGGTTGTCAGGATAACACGTGAATGCGAATGACCGTTTTTAAAGCCTGTGTTTCACACAGCGAAGTGTAGATTACAACTCAAAGGCAGATTAGCAGCAGTGGCACAGCAAATCGCCTCAAGTTTCCTGTAGAGCCTATCAAATCTTGTACAGAAGTTGATATAGTGTACATGTAGAAACTGATGTATGAAAGTGATAGCTGTTCTATTCACCTCGGACAAATCTTTTTTGTCCACAGCTAAACGTCCGTTTCAATCTCGCAAAAACTGACGGCAACTGGGAGGACACGTTGAGGAAAATGTATTTCTTTAACCTCGGTCCGGAAAACGTAATTTTCTAACGCAGTGCGGCGCAATCTGATATAGATGTGAGAATGAAACCCACTTACGGAACGGCTTAGCGGCACATTTGCTTGTGGAAAGTGTCTGACAGCGAGTATACCGACTCGGCGAGGCCTCCCTCCCTCGGTCGGGACAGTCGAAGGGGATGTACAGCAGCAACGAAGCCTCGAACGCACACAGTACAACAAGCGCCTGAAAGATCTAGACGCACGCTCTCCATAGGTCACGAGAGCAAACCTGCGCTGCGTGCACATGCCTGGCAGATCCAACACTCATCCCAGCACCATATCTCGAACTCAAGGGTCCCGAATTAATGAGAAAAAGACTCAGCGACACGATACCGAACAGAGGCACGCAGTACGGTCGTCGCAGGGCCGGAGCGGGCACAAATCCGCCTTCCCCCGCGGGGACTTGCTCAATCTTTCTCTCAATCACTTGCTCTTTTGCTCATTCCGAGGACCGGACGTTGGGCGCGGGGGACGGGGGGACAACGACACGACGATGACTTGGACTTGCAAATCCAGCGGTCGCAGGGTTCGAAAGCATTGCATTAAAATCAGATGCTGCGACGCCTGGCGCGGGGGGCCGGGACGGGGACGCTGGAGCGGGCATTTGAATTCCATATTCCACCGGCACCGGGCACACGCGGACCGAGAATTATACTGTAGCGTTCGGCCACCCCAGCTAAGCTCAGCTCAGCTCAGCTCATCCACAAGGCGAGGGGGAAAACAGTATTCCGGCCCGCGCTCCCAGACCGGCTCGGGCGGGCGCTCAGCCCGATATCGGTTGCTTATTTAACCGCGCAAATCAGAGTTAGAGCGTCAGGATAATCGAAGTGACGTGGGTTGTTCTATTTTAAGCCGGGGTCTGCTGCCCGCTCCCCTGCCCGCCCCGCCCCCAGCGCTCGTCTCGTACAGGCCCTGCGACGCCTTGCGCTGCCCTCTCGTCCCCGTCCTCGTCCCAACTACCCGCACGGAGCGTCCGTACTCATCAGATGGCGGTCGTCGTCCGAGAGGTGCTGCTGCTTGTGGCGGGCCCAACTAACCCCCGGAATTAATCAATCACCTAACGACCATCTGAGGAATTGCCAGAGCCTAGGAACCGTGCATATAATTATTGATGACGAGCACCAGCGTTCCGTTCTAGCCGTGGCTGCAAAAGAAACCCACGCTCCGTGTTGTTGCTCCACGGCTAGTTACCCCCCCCCCCCCCCCCTCCCCCCCCCCCCACCCCCCCACTCGTCTGGAATCCGGATCCCTGGATGGATGGATGGTGAGGAGTCGATCGGCCATCGCTTTGGCCAGATCGATCTCTTCGCGCCCGCCTGTCAACCGCCTTGGGGACTATTCAGCCCCATGGGCCGCGAAGATGGATTATCTTCAGCCATCATCCGCCCTCCAGATGACTGCCTGTCTGAGTTCCGTTATCTGTCAGCCTCGGCTAATTCTTCGGCTTCCCTTGCTCCCCCGCTCGGTTATAGACTTCACTGGGCAACGACGATTCCTTCCATCAATCTTGAGACGGTCCATTTTGAGCCCGGTTTCGACGTGCCTTATCTGATTACAGTACACGACGCTTCCTCAGATGGCCGGCCCTCCTGCGATACGCACAAAATGAAAGTGCTTGAAAGTTCCAACGTCTTGGGTGCAGCGAACCAGATTTCACCGTCCGATACTTCTGAGGTCTATCTAGATCATTCTTACGCCGTTGGATTCATCCATGTACAGGTCGATGGGGTCTTCCCATCCGTTCCGCTGTATTACTCGGTTTCCTCTGTTTTGAGCCCAGCAAAAGGTTAATGGACGTCTTTCTTCCCACATGTAAAATATGCATGAGCGAGTTGGTTAGATCGTTATACCAAAACACGATTCCGAACAACTCTTTATGCTCGTGGATCAGGTTACAGAAATGCGTGTTGCGTAAAAGCAAGCGAGCGAGCGAGGAGCCTCCGGGCATCTTGGCAGAGTGAGAGATCTGGTGGAGAGTAGGGGAATCATGATGATGCTGTATGTACTTGATTATGTTCGGATCCAAGCACGTACATACGTTTGGGATGAGCCTACTCTTGGGCTTCTGTGCAGGGGACGGAAGTAGATCGCTGATGCTAAGACGTAGGGCTCAATAAGTAATAAGTGTCATTTAAGAGGAGCAGACATGGAGGAGATTCCTGAATATTCAGGAATCAGGAGGGAGCCCTGGTGGCCGTTTCTTCCATTAGCCGTCATGGCTTGGCTGCGCTGCGATGCGATTCTTGGAGGGAGGAAGGAAGGGAATGGAATCTACTGCGAAACTCGTTACGTATGACCACGAAGAGAGGGCGTGTGGAGAATAATGTCCGCGATAGGGGTTGCAAACATGTGCAGTGGGAGTGCTAAAACTGCCTGCCTCCCGCCTTCCATTCTCGCTCACTCGCGCTCCGATTCCTGGGGTTTCCGAAAATGTGCCACTTTCAGTTCGTCCGAACTATATCCTCGGCCTCCAGGTGGTTTCAACAGTCCCATGGCGCGGGGAGGTGTCGGTGAACGAAGAGTGGCGAATGTTTTGTTTGTGGCATTCTCCGATGGGCCGGGGCAGGCCAGAGCACAGCACAGCACAGCAGGGCAGAGCAGAGTAGCAGGGCAGGAGGGCAGGAGCGCAGGGGCAGCAAGGGGGCAAGGAGGAGGAGCTCTCTGGGAGATCCACCACTCCACAGCCAATGGCTCACTCGTTATGCCCAGTCGCCGAGTCCCATGACTCCCTTCAGAGTAACACGCTTTTCTTCTCGATCCTCTACTGTACGAACGCGCTTTTGCTTTGTTTTGTATTGTATTTTAAAACACCATGGTCCTCCCTCCCTTCTTCTGAAGTGTGACATGCCTGCCGGTGCCTGCCGCCGGTGCTGCTGAGAAACGCCTCCTGCCTTGCTGCTCGTTTGGCTTGTATGCTTGTTGGCTGGCTGGCTCAGAGCCAGTGAGCCTAGAAAGAGAGGGGGGGACAAGGCTCGACATTCTGTATACCTCTTGAGGCAGCAGGTGCTGCTGGTGCAGGAAGTATTCTATTTTATCCTGAGCTGCTGCGAATACTTGCCTCTCTCGGGCTTACTGCCAGAGCTGCTGCAGACTTCGTCCTCTCACTACATGCAAGGTGCAAAAGCCGGTTTCGTGTTCTCTTACATGGGCATGTACTTTGCATGTACCGAGGCGAAGAATAGAATCATCGATGGCAAACTGTTCACTGCTCTGCTGCCGCTGCCGGAGTCCATGCAATGTCTGATATGTCGGTCCCTCCCTCGCTCCCTCTCTTTGTCTATCAATCAGTCGGTCGGTCGTAGCCCAGCTGTGGAGAGGAGGAGGAGGGAGATGGACAATTACATGAACCGATTGCCGGCCGGCTTCGGACTGGACATTGATAGTACGATCGAGCTGGAGCGCGAGCTAGTGCTCGAGGGGCATCGAGAAGTCAATGGTGGTGAATGCGAGCGGTCGATTTTTTTTCCCCGCCCAGGCGCAAGTCTCGCTCAGTGGCAGCGGGACTGTCCTCGTCTCGATCCGCCTTCATAACAGAGGCTCAATCGGCGCTCTTCTCCTGCTGCTGCCGCATCGAACGAGCGGCCAGCAGCGAGCGCACTCACTGGCTCCCAGTGCAGGCTCGTCTGCATCCGGACACGGATGTGGATCGCCGAATAAATTTCGACGGGCCTTTTGTGTACATTTCGCGCATCAAACCACGTGTTCACTCGAGTATTGTCAAAGCCCGGATTTGACTCCGCCCGTGCCTCTTAAGCCTTGATGTAGTGAAGATTCCCGGCTCACAGTGCAGCACCAAACAAGATAGTATACTTTACTTCCGGCCCTTGGACTTTTTGCTCTCCCAGTGAAATCGGGAACCGGCTCGATAGGATCATGGTCGCATGGACGACGACGAGGCTGGCTGGCTGGCTGGCCATCGAACCACCAGACCCAACATCCGACGATCTCGAAGAGGTCCTCGTCGAGACGACAAAACAGCGCAGGACATAGTGCTAGCTCCGGACGAGGAGTCAACAAAGCCCCGACATCGAAGCGAAGCCGGACCCATGCAATCATGGCGAGTGGAAATATCTGAACCTCGGATGGACACAGTCCGTCCCTTCAGACATTGTAGCAACTTCGCATGCTGCTTTAAGTGCGTCGCCCTCCCAACCGCCTGGCTGGACATGAGGATGCAGGAGGCAGTACCCCGGAGTAGCTCCGAGTGCCCCCACCGTTTGGAGGCGGGTCTAATCGCCTCGCTTCGCGTTGTAGCGTCGAGGCCCAGAAGATCCAGGTCCAAAATTGTGGCAACAAATTGACAAACTTTGAACTAACCATTTGCGTTCGGGAACATTTGTGACCCGGAGTTGGGTGTCCGGAAGCTAGACGGTCGATTTCACGTGGCGATGGATGTTCTCGGGGTTTAAGAATTCGGAAGAGAGGCAGCAGGCTCTTGTTTTGAGAAAGATCGGAAGCACTCATGCATTCGCCGATTTAGTCCCAGATCCTGAGAGATTTTCCGACACGCATTTGGGCACTTTCGGTGGACATATCTCCTCCCCGAGGACCTGTTTCGAAGACTCGAGAGTCCGCCTGGCGTTTGCTCGACACGAGAAATATTCGTGTCTGATGAATACGCTCGAAAGTGCGAAACTGTTTCACCCAACAACATCGCCGCGAAAAGGCCGTCACTGCATCACTCTCGCTGCGTGTCGGAGTCGTTGAGCCCTCGAGCCCTCGAGCCCTCAGCCTTATCAGGAACGTGGGCGGGCACTGGAGCCGCAGCAGCTGGGGACGCATTCCTTTGCATCCATGACAGTGGGACCCCAGCCCCAGCCGACGAAGCGCAGTATTATTGAAACGACACCTGAGTGGAGTATGAGTGAGGATCCAGATAAATCCCGATAATTACTTCCGCTTTGGAAGCTCTGCCTCCAAACATCCTGGAACGATGGAGCCTTGCGCCGAAGGCGGGCGAGGATTTGTGCGCATGATCGTTAGAGCTGGTCCCATGTGCCGTGGAGCGGAGGTCAGACCTCCAGAGGCGAGGAAACTTCCTCTCGCTCCCGATATACGGACACTCGTCTCTCCACCTCGTCAGTACTTCGGGCCCAGACCTCAGACCCCAGACCAGAGCAGACTAGATCAGACCAGAGCAGATCAGATCAGACTCGAGCAGACCGGAGCCAGAGCAGAGCGCACACGAAACCGGCGAGTGTTGTTGACCGAGACGATAGGGTTGTCCAGCCCTGTGCCTGAACTTCTGCTTTTGCTGCCGAGTCTAAAGGGACTTTGGCTTTTGCGCGAGCAAAAATCGTCAAGAATCTCACCAGCCTGGTTTCGGCTTCGTCGATGTTTCCTCGCTCTCATCTCGTGTGCTCTTTTCAGCTCGTTCGACGCAGCTTCACTCTGGCTTTTGTGAACAGTCTAGCTCTCGAGCACTAACCTACACCGCAGGGAGTGAATAGTAATCAGAAAAATAATTGCGCTATCCTTTCTTTATCTGAGCTCTGCTGCTGATGAGTGTTTCAATAAGTGGGGCTCGATGCTTGACCCTGTGAAAAAGGAGGCGGAATCTTAGCGCTGAACGAGATTCGCAGCCATCACGTGGTCCTCTCCTTCAACGAACATCATGAGCGTGTAGACAGTAAGCTTTGCACATTATCGTGGTTGCGAGTCGGTCATTAGTGACTTCACTCGTCTCGGATCAACTCTGTGGCATATGCATCGAGCTATGATTCGATCAACGGCAGGTCTCCTCCATGGTGGGTCCGACGACGGAAAAGGAGAAGTGGAGAATATCTGCTATACAACCTCTGATATACTGAACCCAGATCAAAACCCAGGAAAGTGCCAGTCAGCTCCATCTTAACAGCAACGACTTTAGCGAGGGCTTTTGATGTGATAAGAAGAAAGGCAAGCGAAGGGGACAAGTTCTTGCTTGGCCCTTGCCTCTTGGATCGGAGAAAAGTATGTTGGAAAGAGCGCATGCCTTCCGATTTCTTATCGTGTGCGAGTAGACTACTCCGGGTTCGTACCTTTGTCCATTAAAGTACAGAAAGCAGTCGCAACCGATGAAAAGAAGTAATTTTGCATCGGTTAAGGGCTCCTGTGGCTCGAAATGTTGAACTGTTGAACATGAAATTTATTCTTCCACTTCTTTACGCGATTGATACGTCTTTACTCAAATGTCAAAATATTGTTCCGGGCTACCGACCTTGTTGCAGATTGTATAACACTTCGAACCGTGGATGAGATTATTGAAAGTTGCTCACAACCTAGGAGTCAATGCAATGGCTTGTGAGCTTGTGCAAGCAAAGCCTACGAGCTTCAGCTTGCTTTTGAGAGGAACTGCCATCGAGTACATAGCCCACCTTTCGATTCGGTAGTGTATCTCCGAGCTGCACCATCCAATTCGACCCTTAAACCATCAACCCTCAGCTGCGTTTGGGTCACAATGCTTGTTCAGGCAACAAGTTCGACTGATGCTCAGTACGAATGCCCATGTGGATAACAATCAGCCTCCTACAAGGGTCCGAACTGCTCGCTCGAATGGCTCTATGCAAGAATCTGTGCCAATATTGTAGAAAGGATTCATGAGCGCTTTTCCAACACAACCCAGAATATCAGGGGTCTAAATGCCTGGGACTGAAAAGAGTTTCATAAGCAGCACATTACTTGGGTCTGATTCGATGAATGAGCAATCTGTAATAAGGCCCTGTGCAAACGCTCAGAAAAATCTATGATGTGGCTCTACTGATAAGCCACGCCCCCCAGAAGTGTCTATAAGCTTGTATAGCCTCTCCAACCGAGCTAGGAGTATGTGGTTAGTAGCAAATCGTTCCCCACTTACAAATCTCTATCTTCTGCTCGATCCGCTCGTGGGACGAGAAGGAACATGAGTTGGGCAAATATGGCTTTCAGACTAGTCTTGCTTGTTAGACGGTGATCTCCGCCTTTAATCGATAAAAGATGTTCATTAAATTCATCGTCTCGCCTGGTGGCAGAGACATATGGCATTTTGTGAAGGTGAACAATTTGTATGTCGCCTTGTGTATTTGAAGGCCAAAGACTGATCCGCGAATCTGATCAGAGGTCAGAATCACAAACTTCATTCCTTGTTCGTTGTTTTTCGTGACAGTGCATAGATACTCAAAGTATGTGGGTTTGTGCTCTGTCCATCCTTCTACCACGAATCTAATCGGAAGTCAGAATCACATTTTTCATTCCTTGCTCGTTGTTGTCGGTTAGAGTGCATAGACACTTAAAAGTATGTGGCTTTGCCCGCTGTCCATCCGTTGACTAGCTCTCGATCAAGATCAAGTTTCACGTCAAGCGATTCTTCATCCCCGACCTCTTCTGCCAGACAGATGCAAAAGTGTTCATGACTGCAAATGGTCACACTTCTCAATACAAACTGGCTGGCGTTAGTAATTATCTCGCGTATCAGAGTAGTTTACGTTTTGATTAGGTCCTCCGACAATAGCACCGGCGAGCAACCCTGGGGTTGCTTCCCAGAGAGTAGTCCATCTGCAAATGTCGATTGCAAAGCTATTACGGACTGGACTTATCTCAAAGTAACCTGGCACAATAATGTTTTCAGAAGCTCCGCGGTTCGTCCATCCTGAGCATGATGTGTTCACATGCCAGAGCAAGCACCAGGATGGTTACCTGCCCCGTTGCTGTGATCAGAAGCTCCGATGATTTGACTCTGTCCTGTACAGTGAAGGAGCTCTCACAGTCCAACCAGGTCCCTTGACCTGACCATGGAGTCGCTGCACATAATGACCAGAATTGATGCGGCTGCGACGAACTCCACATTGTTCCACTGCATACTATCCCCAGACTCTCCACCTCGCGATCGTTCGATCTTGGACCCAAAAGGTTTCCTCCCAAAAGCAGAGCACGCAAAGAATTCTGCAGCCCTGAGAGTGTTTGTGTGTGTGTGTTCGGGCCCTGCCCTCCAAAAGGAGCGGCTCGAGTGCAAAAGAAATGAGAGTTGAGAGCTGAGAGACATGCAAAATCGAACTGGCCGGTTTGATAAAGATGTAATTTCAGACATCACATTGTCAAGCTCATGGCATCTGCTGGTTTTCTTTAAAAAAATTTCACTGACATTCGAAGCAAGGGCATGCACGCCTGACAGAGTACCTCGAGTCCCAATCAAACTGATCCGTCGTCGATCTGATCCCACGGCGCCGCAGCAACGTACAAGTCACATAGCCCAGATAGTACCACTCGTCCGATGCCTCGAAAACCCGTAGAGCCGCCCGGAGCAAATCATCCTCACAGTCACCGGGTTCAGAGGCACAGAACCCACGTCGCGGGCATCAACTCAGTGAACTCAGATGGACGACGCAGATAAGATCAGGACAAGGAGAAAATATCGATATCGCTCCATATCGATGAGCTTCAAAAGATTGAATGCTCACTCCAGTGCCTCAGCAGGATCCTGTGTAAGTCCGGCCAGAGTTTGTTCTGGAGAACGGGCTGCGCTGGTCAGCAAGAAGATCGCTCTCGCTGTCAAATCTCATTTGCAGGCACACTCCGTGGTTTAAGTGATGGTGACGTTTACAAGCTCAAGTGCTCTCGAGCTCGGGTACAGAGGAATGTAAACATCATTATACATGCAACAGCTCCGAGCTGGGATCTCTACGACCGTGAGATCACATTCCTTTCAGACCTCAGGTGAGAATGAATCATCAATGGAGAGATTGCATACTCCAGCTCTCAAGATTGCATACTCCAGCTCCGTGTACTCATGGGAGCAGACAACACCTGACTTTCTGAATATCTCCGAACACACGGGTTCGCTTCATCCGCTTGCAAGATATTCTAAGCTCTGTGCGTCAATTCGGTGGCGAACACCTGCCAACCGCTGCATTCGGAGATGCTTCCGAGTAGTTTCGTTTTGTATCGTAGTTCGTGTTTGAGTTGCCAAATCCCACTTCTGCTTACGAGCCCGAGGTGGCTGCAGAGTTTGCACATGCTGTGCAAAGGCTGGCCGAGTCGAGTTTCACAGTTTGAGATATTTTTATACAGCGCTAATCGAAATTTTCTGCGCGGTAGCGGTTGAGACTCAAGCACCGCTCGTTTCTCGCCAAAACACAGGATTCGGAGGTTCAAGCACTCGAGTCTACAAAATTCTCTAGCTGTCGTGATATTCCCCTCGAGTAGCGAGGAGTTCCGCTCAGTATCTAGTAGACAGATGTGATCCTTCTGCCGAGCCGGGAAACTATCGTCCAAAGTGAAACTGTCTACTACCAACTGTCATCGCAATCAGAGAAAGACTGCCCCTCGTCTGAAGGGGATATATATTCTTCGGAAGCGAGATCAAGGCAAACAGATGAAGATCGACCCCATCTTCATCTCTCCATTTGTCTTGTAATATCTCGACCGCTATTCATCACTGCTCTACTTACTTATCCGATATCCGTCGACGAGATGAGATGATCATCGATCACTCGAGCATCGCTTGATTGTTCTGACCTTCCACTCCTCATATCTCAGCTGCAAGCCTTCTGGAGCTACGGAAGTTCAGATTAGGTGGTTCCATCGGCCTTAAGGTGCTAGCGCCGGCGGCACGTGACTGACGATAAGGATCCTCCCTAGATCGAAGAGAGAAATAGTTGGAAGATTTGGGAGTGCGAGGCTTGCAGTCAGCCGTCATACGTCGCACCCTCGATGCTGAATTCGGTACGGGCGTTCGAGATGCAGACTGATCCTTGATTGGACCCATCAGGTTCGCGAATGAAGGAAGAATTTATCTCCTTTCTAAACCGTTTTGAGATTGTCAGTGTTGTGGCATCGCCGATTCATGCAATTGGTTGAAGAACCCTTCTGACCTTCTGGAAGTTAGTTAGCCATTCATGACTGCGCACTGGAGTCTTTCTGCGCAAGTCAGTTGCTACGTCTGTCCGTCTCCAAACAATAGTGTTATGGAACCTTTAGTTTAAGAATCCTTATAGATACATTTAATAACATTATACAAAATGATATATTGAATACATGCATCCCTTCTGACATAGTAATTGGCTATTTGAGGCACTAAGTAACAAGTCATAATTAAACTTCAAATCCATACTTTGTAAAAAGAACTTTCGAATATATTCTAGATAATAATTTAGAATACACATGTTTATATGAAACCTAATTTTTTTACAAATAAAAATAAAATTTTTTTTTTACAAATAAAAGTAATTAAATTTTTTAAATTATTCTTAACAACGTTAAGAGTAACGAACATGAATCTTTTCATGTATTATTCATATTTAGAATAGATTTTTTGGATATTATATAAATGAGAACCCTAAACCAAATTTAAACATCCGTATTTTCACATTTAAAATCTCAAAAGAATATAGATTAAAGTTATTATTCAATTAAAAAAATTATAATACCGTAGAACAATTAATTTGTAAAAAAATCTTTTTGAGTTCATTGAAAATACCCATACTCTTCCTTTTCTTTTTTCAAAGTAGTTTGGTTATGGAAGATGAAAAATATAAAGAAAAATAAAGAAAAATAAATAAAATAAATAGTCATATGTATTTTTTTGAAATAATTTTTTTCATGAAATTTTTTTCAACATTTCAAACCATTTGAAATTTCTTTTTATGCTCAATAATTAAAAAATTATTATATTATTAATTCTTTTGTTTGCAGATATTTCAACATATAACTTTAACATTAAATTATTATAAGATATCATTGTATCATTTAAATTTTAAAAATTATAGCTTATTTGAAATTTCCAAAAAATTTGACACTTTTCAAATGGTAGTATGTAAAATGAAGTCAAATATACCCTTTCTTGGAAATTATATAATTAAAGTCAGAAATATATAAATTTTTTTGAACACGGAACAAAATTAGTTTGATTTTAACATTTGATGACATTGTATTGCTTGAAATTCAAAATTTTATTTAACTATATCAATCAGTTTTTTCTAATAACTTTATATTCATGCAACATTTGTGCATTATACAAAGTTCTCTTCAATTTCAATATATTAGTTCTTTTAATTGATTTAAATTAATTCTATTTTTATAAAAATAAATAAATAAATAAATTCTTGAAACTTCATTTTTTTAAATTTATAATGCCCTAATTATGAAATAATTTATGATTTCATGATTGAATTAAAAAAAATTGAAGTCTTGTTTAGTTTTTACATATG